GAGAAGCGCACTATTTGACAGCTGTGTTACTTTGGTATGGTAAACACATTTATGGTTGTCTTGATTTAATTTGTCCACCTTCCGGTGCACTTCATCATAACACTGGTTTTATTGACATATGTTTTCTTGTAATGTTTCGGCCTTATGGCTGAAAATTCTGTGATCTCGGTTGGGAAAAGCCGCGTATTTATTTATTCACTTTGTTTCAAAACTTACTAATGTTTCTCCTTGACATGTACATTTATTTAGCACGGTTTGGTAATTGATATTCTTTTCTATTTCAAGCATGTTTCACTTCCCAAATTCTGCACCTCTGAAACCACACCTAGAGCTTTCCGTCATTATGAAACTTTAAAGTTTCGTAATAACTAAAATCGTAGTTATTCTAAAACTAAATACGTCAGTAAAATTCAAAATTCCTTAAACTCTCATATTAAAGAAGACCACACCAAAGGTCGTTTGGTAGTGTTATCACTAAGATTTTCATAGGCGCCTTGAATCTTTGAAAAACACCCACCATTGCATTACTAGTATGATCAAGGAAGCAGGTATTCAATTTCAGTGTTTAAAACTTTACGTTCAACTAGGTTTCAAATGAAGGTATCATGGTGTCTCTAAGGGAAGTTTCCGACTCTGAATCGTGTCATCGTTTAATGTTAGTCACAGTTGAAAAATAGAATCAGTTCTCTCTAATCTTGCAACATCTGTTCATCTCGTAAGCTATGCTCTCTAACCTGATATCCTCCAGTTAGTTCTTGTGCTGTTGTATTTTTTTTATCCATTTAAAGTGATGATTCACTATCGTTTAGCTTCAGATTTGGGATATGAAAACAGAAGACCTTAAGTATATTTTAGTTTATAGCACCTCTCCTACAATTAAGTTTATTTGCAGTTAATTTTGTCAGGACCCTGGGAATTAGTCCATATCTCTCCTATTGATGCACCTAAGTTAATTTTCCACTTTTCAGCCGAGGCCGCAGAGTCGATCACCTTCATATCTGCATTCCACATTTCGGTAAGGGCCTGCACAACTGTTTGATAGGCTCTATCAGCCACGGACTTAAATAAAAACACATTGTCAATTCTATCTATAGGGAGGAGGAACATTATTTTATAGCACCTCTCCTAAAATTGAGTTTATTTGAGGTTAGTTTTGTCAAGCCTTTCAATTGACTTGTTTAACATACAGTGTTATTCGAACAGTAACAATTTGTCCATCTTTGTATAGTTATTGTTATTATCATGTCTGTATGAACATGCATGCTTGACCACATATGACAACCTACACACAAGTCCATCTTTTTTGCTTAGTTACTTAAATGGCTCTGCGATATATATATTACAATAATAATAATGATAATAATAATAATAATAAACCTACTTCGATTTGGGCACCCGGGTAGTATCCCAGCCCTCACATAAATGGAATGACCTATGTGGCGCATATCTATTTGGTGCCTCTTTGTACCAATGTTAATGTGTTTAAATAAACAAATAGTTCGATAATAAACTATAGTCGGTGCTTCACGTTGCCTTCTGAAATTTATAAACCGTTGGGATTTATATAATAGTGGTTATCAGGGCGATCAATATGCGAAGTTTAAGAAATTGTCTCGAAGATAATCCACTACAAGTTCTTCTGTATTTTGCCGCCCTATTTTCCTAGTTTTTTTCTTTAATAAGCTACGTAGAATTGAATGAACTAGGTCTTTTAGTAACAAGTTATAAAAGTTTGTTGTTCAATGTGGAAAACGTATATACCGCATGGATCGTGTGCTCTTGACTCCTGTACTAAACTGATGTATACTCTGATTTATTGTGGCGTATTTGAAAGAGACAAGATGTGGCGAATCCAAAGTCGTTTACTGTCTTTCAAGTCATACTCAGTTCACAGCACGATGATATAAAACGATCTAACTTCCAAAGCCGCTTATCGTAAGACAGACTGGTCATCTCTCAGATTTTTCAGGTAGCGATCTTCAGTACTTCTCCCGAAAGATCCAATTCACACGTTTAGCTAGGAACTAGGAGCTGTAGACGTTTAAGTTGTTTGGATCTAACTAGGGGTGTTTAGACTGTTGTTACTGTCCTTTCAACCAATTTTTAGAAAGCCTGTTAACCTTTAGTTGCCACCAAACGGGATTGAGCATTTACCTCGAAGTTATAATTTGCCATGACTTTTAGTTATTATTAGTTGAGACTAATGGAGACGTTCAAGCAACTAACCTTAGGTCCTGAAGCGAAGTCGTACTGCTAACTGTATAGAGGTAAGATGTTCCCTTTAGACGACCAGCATGACAGCGATGCTGCCTTCCCACAAGGAAGGGTGGTGTTAGAAAAGGTCGACCCTTAAAATGCACACTTCGCCTTATCCCACGGATATCCGTCTCCGGCGGTAAGGTCTCAACAAGTACGGAATTAACACGAAAATTACCCACACAACGGGCCGTGTGTGACTGACCTCAAGCAGTTGTCCCTTGGGCAATGCGGTCACGCTCTCAGGTCACTAAAACCACCTCTAATCCGATTTCCTTTTCAGTTACCTCCAGAAGAAGCTTTCCACGGTGTGGGCAACTGGGAATTGATAACCGCCCTCATACCTTTGACAGCACACAAGACCACTGTATTCATAATCAACCTCCCTCTTCAATTCCTATTATTCCTCCTACATCGACTTTCAATCCTAAACTTCCTGTTTCGGCTTCCTCCTCAAATTTAACCACAGCCAACGAATCTAGTGCACAAAACACTGTCCCAGGTCTACTGAAACCTCAACTAAATTAACTACTATGATTCCGATGTACATCTTTTTGTGTTAATGAGGTATGGCAACTTGGACCGATGCATATATGTGCCTGGTCCTACGTTGTAGCTGGCTGTCTGTACACGTTTAAGTTGTTTGGATCTATCTATGGGTGTTTAGACTGTTGTTACTGTCCTTTCAACCAATTTTTAGAAAGCCTGTTAACCTTTAGTTGCCACCAAACGGGATTGAGCATTTACTTCGAAGTTATAATTTGCCATGACTTTTAGTTATTATTAGTTGAGACTAATGGAGACGTTCAGGCAATTTGGCATCAGAATGGGTTTTGTGGAGATTTTTTAGAAACTTCACGGGTTGAAATCATGAGCCAATTGAAGCTAGACCACCATGAAAAACCTCATGATTTCAACCTGTGAAATTCGGCATCAGTCTATGACTCATGTCCATGAAGATACCTAGGTGTATTGAGTGACATTGATTATTTTCAAGTCGGTTTTCCATAATGCTGAGATCAACCTGGAGTGTTCGTATATTCCCATGCTACTGTACCTCTTTCCATACTTTTGTATCATGGAACTTGATGAGACTTGAAAATTCATTGATATAAAGGATGGATAATGGTGAACCTTTTACTGTTTTTTCCGGTGCTCCACTGTTTATTGATTTCCGAGAATAAATTATTGAGTTGGTTCGACAGATACTGTAGTACTAGTCGGAGACTTGAATGCACAGGCCGGGTGTCTAGGCACTGAGAAAATTGGCTTGGGTAGCTGGTGGGGACTTGTTTGTCGCAGGCCAAATAACGATGATCGTCTACTGCAACTTAACACAAACTACAACCTGTTTCTGGCCATCGTTTACTTGGTCGATAGTATTCGATCTGCACTAATAAGGACTTGACACACATGACATTGATCACCACCCAGTGATCAACCAATTGTGATTACATCTCAGTACTACAGGAGGTCGGTCGCGGCCTGGATAGCTGTGGTGACGTCTCTGATTGTGAAGCTGGGTGACATGGGGTGAAACCCGTCGTGGAGCACCAGTTCCCTCAAGATTACAGGTACACCTTGCTGACGAGTGCCAAGTAGCACGAAACCCGGGTCCAGGGTTTCCTGTTGACTACCTCCAACCACCATCTAAAAGGAAATGACTTAGCTGTTTATAAATATCTTGGAATTAGAAAGCGTTCCAACACAGTTGAATGAGTCGACGGTTATCCTTGTTTTTAAAATGGGTTCACATCACCTATGGAACAACTGTCAGGGGATAAGTCTACTTCCGATTGCGTCCAAACTATTGGCTTCTGTTATGGTTTGTGGATTGTTCGAGACCTGAGAAAGATTGGCTCGAGAGGAGCAGGCTGATTTTTGTTTTAGTCGAAGATGTATTGATTATATCTTCACCCTCCACCAAATGTTAGAACACCGTCATACTTATTACTTGTCAACAATCGTAATGTTTCTTGAAATTGGGGCCGTCTTTGATTTGTTGAACAGGATAGTTCTCTGGGATTGTCTATTGAAGAAGAGTGTTCCCGAAAAGTTTATTAACATCTTGAAAGCCCTACATACAAACACTTCAGGTAGAATGACGCCATACAATCACCTTTCTATTGGTTCATTCAGGCAATGTAGTTAGGCAGGGTTACCCAATCTCACCATTCCTATTCAACTTTGCCACCGATGACGTTCTGGAAGTAGCTCTGATGGATGTAGGTAAAGGTGGTGTGGACCTGTTAATGTAGAGGCTCGACAACGTGTGTTCGGACACAGTGATATTAATTCAATTAGTTCACTTTCTTGAAACACTGATTTTGGTGACTTAGATATGCACTTTGAATGTTATACCAGCGAATTTCACGTTGTGCATTATTTACTGACGCTGGAACTAGTTGGACAATGCGTAAAGATGGTCAGTGCATGATATAGGGTCGTGGTATCTTTCCTTCTACCCTGTTTTACCTATTCCTTTCTCCTCACTGAGGAAACAATCACTGAAATGCTTTGCCTGGACGATTTGTTATCGTCACATCAGTGAATATTTACAAAGAGATCCTCGATTTTAACCGGAAAACGAATTTTGGAGATTATTTTGAATTCTGCGCTTATTGCTGACGACTGAAGCTTTTTTTACTAAGGTTTCTAGTCTAGTCTCCTACTTGGAAGCATCGGTGGTCCACTGCTACTAGATATGGAAGCCGGTCGATCGCAAGCCTCATTTTTTCCGTTCAGAATTATTTGGCTATTTAAACTACATTTTTGACTCCTGCGTTACATCTCAGAAATGAGACAACTATGTAATTACATAGCGTCAGCAGATGATAAATACCCTTTGTTTCGGACGAAGATGGCTTTTATGGGCGGTTACTGTGTTAGTGAGTCAAAAAATATTTCAATCTTTGGTGTCGATATTAAGCTGTATTCATCCTTTTCATACAATACCATATTTATAAATAAAGGAATTTACTTTCACCAAGGAAGACTGGTTTAAAGAATTACACTTATGTTTCCTGTCACCTTGGTTTTTTTTGTTTCTAGGTTTATCTTTAATTTCGTTCGATGAAAATGGCTGATCAGCTGATTAGTCGTAATGTACATACTTGTGTGTGCATTACTTCAGATTCATTCTTCGATTATAAGGATAATCGGTTTTTCCGGTGAAAGTATACTACACTTACACCATTAATCAGCTTACTAACCGGTAAGGAATCTGAATATAAGACATTTTACAACGAAAAGCACCATGATGGTGGTTGGATTGTACTCTTGATACGTTTACTTAACATTTCCATGCCAAATTAAGCACTACAGCGGTAAGAATATTATGTGCATATACTGGGGGTCAGAATAGTGTCTCCAAATTAGAATCCAACTCAGGGTTTTCGTTACGAACTGACGTCAACTACAAACTAAATGGTTAGGCTTAGGAATTCGAAGTTGAAGTCAAGTTATGATCCAGGATTACGATTTTTTGACGTCTTCATCATGTACTGACGTCAACTTTAATGCAGAGATTTAAAGATGAGATTTAGAGTTAGGAGGATAAAATGTAACTACACGAACACTCCTGCCTATCCGCTGAATCACACTTGGTATTCTATCATACATTCTGTGTTACGAGTAGATATTTCTCGTGTTTTGGTTTGCAAATCATGTCATATTCATTATTTGGTTGCATAAAAGATGTTTTCATCGTCGATTTGGTAATTTTTTACCGGTTAACCTGTGTTAGTTCGTGCAGGATTGAGTTTTTTTTCTTAAAATTGATCATCGATGAGTATAGCATCAATATACCCCTTGGAGCATTTCAATCGTTGATCACTTTACGTCTTTGAGGATTCCAACATGTGGTCTTTTAGAGGATTCGGGCTTTGGTTTTGACAAGAGATTCCTGGGGGCCTGTGCCAATCTTTTTCTAGTAAGCTTCCATGCGTTTATTCTCTTGGATCCACTAGCTGGGGGCACAAGCTTTTATTTCAGTGTTTGGCTCATAGTAGATTTCTCGGTGGAGAAATTTTTATGACACGGTGTTTTCATTCGTTCTTTGCTTTCAATCGTAGTCTTTGAGTTTTTTATTATGGTCGTCTCGGAGACGGATAGCTATAAAGGTAGCAAAAGATATAAGCGCCTAAGTTTTATTCAAGATACTAAATGGTAGTGTATTATCACTCCGTATTTTCTGACAAAACAAGGGAAAGATCAAAAAGTCCTGTTACCAGGCTACTGTCTACTCATACGTCCTATGGGATAAGGATTTTTATTTTGACATGGGATGGCTACTTGAATATAGTATTTTAGGTAAAGCATCACATAGGTGGGGCATAAACTTTGAAACACTTTTTTGCTAAGGTATTCTAGGACCCTATGAAGTGGCCATGATATACTATACTCTTTAGCAGCTGTTAAATTACAGTCTACGGTCTTTTTCAATCCATTGCTTGTAACTACATATCAGTCTTTATGTTCCATAAATTAATGTAGTGTTATCTCGTCGATAGTGTGCTGATGACTGCTACCATGGGCCATCCTTCAAGTAAATTCGTTCTTTATAACGGAGACGATGGGGCAAAAGTCAGTTGTCAAAACACCAATTACTAAAAACTGATGGAGAATATTATGCATTCAGTTAATGCAGTCTCGTACGGAACCTAAATGCTTCTAAACAAATAAAAATCTGGACATCACTCAAAGTAATAACTCAGTCAAGTACAGTTCTGAAGGAATGCGAGATATCCATGCCCCAAAATGTCCTGGTACGGCCTAGAGTAGGGAGAGTCAGATCTCCCTCTCGAAATGCTCTCACATGGCCACGCGTATATAGTCTCTGTTAGGGAAGTCCTACTCATTGCCTTCTCGTGGCTGGGCTGTTGTTTACGAAATTGAGAGAACGAAAAGCGAATGTCCGGCGCTTTAACCGGGTTGGTGAATACGGAGGATCCACATAGAGAAGTTGGAAAACCCTGATTCCAAACTAAAGATGCACATGAGCTCCACTATCCTGAAGGAACAAATGGCGTATGAACCTACTGTTGATCACCAGCTACCATGGAACTGCATCTCTTGACATAGCTCTACTGCCCTGTGGATCAGATCTTCGGGTCAAAAGCCCCGAGTGTGGCCCCCTAAAAACACCACCTGCTTTGGTTTACAGAATCATAGAAATAAGGGACGCACAGACAGTTCCATGAAAAAATAAATTCTAATTAACAGTACTTTTCATTTCAAAGTTAATAGAAAGGTATTATGACTCAACCAAAATCACTTATCATTTAAAACTTGTTGTTTACTTTGTTACTTCAGGTTTTATTGCTTGTGTGCTCGAATATGGCAGAGCGTATAGACTGGGTTCGAGCCTGAATAGTACGGGACTACAGTGTATTAAATACGTGCTCACTGGAAGTAAATATTTCTTTCACTACTGTGCTATTGTTTCAGCGTCTGCTGCAGTATGTCACTCGTCTGTTTCCTTTATATCAGCAAAAGCTACAGGCCGATCAGATAGCTGGGTGAATCATGCACTTGGGGGAGCTGCTAGTGGTTTAGTCTGCACATGGCAATGTGAGTCTTGTTAGTGTTTGTAACATACTATTTTGTACATTTGTTCGTTTAATAATACATCGTATTTTTTACTACATGTTTTGCTCTTTCAATGCAAGTAAAAGAGAATTTTGAGTTCTTATACTTCTATATGTATGCATAAATTTAATTGGCTCTTTGGAATCGAACACGTAGCCGAAATGGCCTGGAAAAAATATTGTCCCTTTATCAAATACTGTCCATTTTTTTAAAGTTCAGCATTTTTTCATCTACTAAATGGCGAGAATAAGACCAATAAAGCTTAGTTTTAACTATAATATGTAGTGTCGACGGAATTCCCCATCAAAATTTATATTCACTTACCAAGGTCAATAAAGACCAGGGCGATCAAAGTTAGCAACCAGGTGTATACATGAAAACATCATTTGATTCCTTTACATTCCTCAGCCTTCACATACAAGTGGGCATCATATTGATCATTTTCTTTTCAGTCAGATCACTGAAGCTTAAGTAAGGCTAGTAACCTGAACGTTAGTCGAATATTTCCAATCTTATTGATCTAGTTTATTACATGTCCAACTGTTTTACGAAGAGCCTTTCCCATACCTCATGTACATTTTTAAAAAGTAGTCATGGTTAGAGGTGTGCTTACACTGTATCTGTCTCATTGTCCTAAGAGTTTTACTGGGCAGTCAGTATAATAACTATTTGGGACCAGTCCCATGTAATCAGAAATATTTTTAATTTTGTCATGTGAAGTCTAAACTTTTATGGTCTCGCGCCACCAGTACTCAATGTAGTAGATATTTAATGATCTCTTCTAAGCTTAAGAATGCAGCATAGCTGGAGATGCTTACAAAGATGTTATTACTGTTTTAATCCGTTTAAGCCAGAAACATATACCATCGAGATTGAATTGTTGTGTTGAATTGCACGTGGAGACTATTGTTTGCCTATGCAACTTTCTGTCCGGACTTCCTGGGATAGTGAAGGGTTTTTAACTAAGCTAATACCCAGTACATCTTGACAAATAAATCCGGCTACCAACTGGGAATAGTAACTGCTATGTAGTTTGTTTTACACTTGTTAAATTTAAGAGAGATTTTTCAGTGTTGCAAGCTGTAAATCCCTTTAAACTACTCAGGTAAAAATAATATTGGATAAAATTAGAAATCTAATGTCAAAGCCGGATGATTTGTATCGGAAAATATAAGTAGGTGTTAAGTACAAGCATCCAAATCTTGCTTCTCCAATTTCAAGTAAATCACTGTACAAGCAATCAATGTAGCACTACCTACTGTTTGGACAATGTTCAACAATTTAATCATCTACTGATGTTTTCGTCATGATATCATCGCAAAGGCCTCTGTTGCAATAACTTCAGGCATTAAAAAGAGATTGATGTGGCCACCAAGTGTTTGTAGTTTATGAAGATATAAATTTCAGTTGGGTGCTCGGAAATAGTTAAGTAAATGTATCCAATCTTTATCCTTTTCTTTACTGCTTGTCCTTGAAAGCAAGTACCTGTAGATTTATGTGGAGGAAGCATTTATTTCATAATCAATAAATAACTATCCGATGCAATGGATGTGTTTTAAAGTGACTTGTTCCCTTTATTGTCTCATCAGACTGGTTATCTTGCTTTCTGATGTTACGAGATTTGTCACAATAGCTAGATTCACTCCAAGGGTTGGAGTTTATGAAACTGTATTATAGTTGCTAACTCTCCATAATGATGTTTTCAGTTCGCGCTTGTAGACTGCTACTACTGAAAGATGTTATCGTATACTCCTTGGAAAATTGCCTTTATTTCATTAGACTACATCAAACTAATAAACGGGATTTGCTTGGAATAAATTTTTTGACTTATTTATTGTGATGCTTAACGTACATGTTTTGGCGTTAGAATCGGTGTTTATGTCTCCACATAAGTCATTAAATTAGTCTACTAACATTTCATTGTTCACTAGCACGAAATAGTGGCGCTAGATGATATTCAGTCAGATGCTATTGATAGGTGTTTTAAAACCTTTTTGTTGTGGTTTCAGAATAATGTAGATTGTCTTGGGTTGATGTATTGTTTGAATGCCGTTCAGTTAACTTCGTTTATGAGCAATGAAAGGTATCCACTGGAAATTTGTAGTATATTCTGAACATGTGAATTTTTGTCAAAGACAATGCATGGATAAGGTTCTAAGGTATTCACATTTGTAAATAATTGGATCAGGTACAATAATTTTTTATCTAAATGTGAAAATATCTGTCAAGGGTATGATGGATATTATCTTTCGTACGACTACGAACATGGCTTATATTCTTTCTTTTAATGAATAAGTGTCTTTTTGATTGAAATGCGTAAGCCCATATTTGTACGTGATAATATGCTCTTCGAAAATGTTCACGTTAAATGATGAACACAAATCTATTATCTGCACTTGTTTGGATACAGTGATCTGTTGTTTTCAAATTTTATGGATGTAACAATAACCATATTGTGTTATAATCGTTCTCACATGTTTCTTTTATAGGTTCTATGAAGGTACGTGCCGCTACATGCGTCGGATTCGCATTAATGTCAGCTTTGGGTAAATATAATGTGGAGTTCAGACAACGGTATCCTGACTGGCATGTTCCAGTGGTCGGAGAGTACACTCCATCACCATATGTATCTCTTAATCACCGATGGATGTATAAAGGTGCAAGACAACAAGAAGAAGAGCTGGAAAAGCATGTATAATAATCTAGCACTTTTAAATTTGTGACCATATGTTTACTTCAAATTTCTGCAAATTAGTTAATAAATAATAGAGACTGTGCTTTATGTCTTTTGATTCTTTTTTATGTGATCATACAAGTGTTACCGATTCTATCTACTATTTTTTTATTTTATGACTTGTTTTAGTCTGTCATTTGCGCATTGGTAATTAAAAAGCAAGATAATATTTTATGACACAAAGCCGCCCATATTTTAACTATGATATACATCCAGGAAGATATACTTGCATTTCGACATTTCGTCGAACTCCTCTCTCAGGAGAGGAATATCTCGATGTTATTGCTGGTGATATTCTAGTGGTTGAATGTCGACCACAAAATGGTTAGTGAACTGAATTTACGTTTTGTTTCGGTCTATCAGTTTTAATCAGTTGTTATTACCATTTTTATTAATATTGACAGAGAAACGTACTGCATTTGCTATATTGCAAGTTTAAAGTCTTGTTATCTTATATTTTTATTCTTAAGTAGTATTAGACTGAGTGCTAAAAGGTGAAGTACAATAGTCTTAGATATTTTAAAAGATAACTTGAGAATTTTTCATGACGATATTTGTCTTCATGTTTGGATAGTTGATGTATCCAAAGTTTGTTATATAGAACCTGTAATGTTGAAAAATATTTGGTTACTGTCATGTCAGTCCAAAAGGCTTTATGTATCCGTTATTGAAGGTCTCGGTATTTTTCAGTAATACAAAATCTTTTAGTTAGCTCAAAAAGGATACCCTTCTACAGATTTTTGTAACATTTAATTTTCAAAACTATTTTAGAGATTTCTAAACATATACACTTCATCGAGGCGATTATTATAGATTCATTCAATTTTGATTATGTCTAGTACTTAGTTATAATCCACTGCGTAATTTTATATCTTTATGTATACATATATCCCACTTTTAATTTTTTTGTACGCATCATTTCTTGTTCAAGCTACGGCACCGACCTCTTTTTTATATGGACTTAATGAAACAACAAAACATAAAGGATATTTTCCGGCATATTGTATAGATATTCGTAAATTCGGATCACTTCAACTAAGAAGCAAAAGCACCGATCGAATTGCTTCTACCCACACTTTTCCAAATTCACAGCTTATAAAAGCTACAAACGTTGATCCACAAAGCTTATTACAACCAGTTATACCTCCAAGATGTAAACGTCTACTCAATGTATCTTCCTCATCCTCGTTACTCAGTACACCACTTAATTCATATTCTCACTCATGTACAAATTTGTCGATTCCGTCCCAAGATACTTTACCTCATGAAATTCAAAAGTGTAATGTATCCGTACCAAGTAAGTTAAGTTGAAATTTCGCCTTTTAACCAGTCCTTATTATGTAATTCTGTATGCATGTTCATGATGAATTGTGTTGAATAACATTATTATAATTTACTACTGTCTCAATATTTCGACCTAGGTATTGCTAATTCAAAGTTTTGAAGGATACTGGATTTTCGTTTACTAATAGTATAAAGCCTCATATTCGATTAACTTGTTTCGTCCCGACTTCGAATTATTTGACCAGTTTTCCTTTCATTTGATTCCTGTGTTATCAGAGCGAGATACAGTGTAGAGATGAATCCTTAATAGTTAACTTTATTTAAGAACGTGTTTGCTTCAGTATTATATCGGAAATGTAACTGTCAAATAAGATGTAGATGATTCCCTCCTTAATACACAGTTTCTTGGCTGAGAGATCGATTATTTTGTAAGAGAAAACGGCAACAAACTGTTCCACGCACCATATAAATTATAATTATTAATATAACATTGACGTTTTTTGTTAAATCAGAGTTTCATAGTTCACTATATGAAATGCTAAAGTGGCTCAACAAACTGCCCTTCTATGTATATATTAATAGTCGTTTATGCTGTAAGAAGATAATGTAAATTCACAAAAATGTTAGTTGCAGCTGTCAACTTGTGTATGAATCGGATCCATTTTTGAAGACATTTTCTTGTAAATAGTATTTGGAAAGTAGGATTTTGAGGTTTTTTAATCATATTATGGTCTCTTTTCTTTTGAAGACTTTTCTATTTACTAATATATACTATATGATCTCTCTTTTCTCTTGTTTACTAAGATCTTATTTACCCGTTATTTCTAGTTTTAGTGGTTCAGAGGTATTTATTTCACTATTATTTTGATCTCATAAAGTCCAATGTAGTTAGAGACTTCTGAATTAGTTATTGAATGTTATATGATATATTAAGTATTAATTTACTGCTAAATTTCTCCCTCAGTGGTTTATGGGAAGTTTAAAATCATTAGTAGTCTGCAGAGCAGATATAATTTTTCTAATGATAAGTTCACTAGATGTGTAAATGCTATTTCTGATGCATAATGGTATGTTCTATCATATATGTGGCAATCAGTTTCGCAGTGTTTTGATATTTACGAAGTCATAGTTGATAATAGTGCTCGTAATTTATGTTTCATTTACTATTCATATTCTGAAAACAACTCTTACCAAGCAGCCGGATGTCGTGTAACAATTGGATCATAACTCTGATCAGATTGAGAAGTTGATTTGACTGTATATGATTTCAGTATATTTCACGAATGAGAAGTAAAATAACCGAAGTAACCTTTTTCGTAAAGAAATAAATTTTGACAGCAAGAATACTGTGGTAAAGGTTTTATGCTTTTAAATAAACACGTGTCCCAGCCATCTCAACTGATGGCTGGGACACGTGTTACGTATGCCCAACCACCGACTGCCTCGACGTGCTATGTTTTATAGTATCGGAGTAGGTTGGGAGAAAGCTAGGGGCGGCCAGACCAAAACGTGGCATAAGTCCATGAAGTCACTGACAAGTGGACTTTTATATTGGATAAACGTAAACTTTTTTATACACGATGGTATGTTTAACAAATGTCCGTATTTTGTGTTCACAATCTATTTCGTTTTAAGGAAAATCAAACTTTATTAAGTTTATTTACTGGTTAGAATATATATTACTAATATCCCGATGGGTCGAATATTGTATGTTTGACTCTTCGATTTTGTGTTCTCCCAAATTCTAATCCTCTGAATTTGTCGTATCCTTTTTTTCCTCTTTCCAAATTTATTTCACTGGAATATACCCCTTGAATAACATCTTCAAACCCTAATGTTTCCGATTACTGCTTATACTCTTACTACCTCTACCACTATGGGATTTGAATCGACAACTGCATCTCTGTGCTAATGTGGTATGGCAACTCGAACTGCTGTATGTACGTACGTACGAAGTTCCACGTTGTTACTGACTGACTGAATTATGCTTTTAAATGATGGAACCCACAAGAAATTTCAGTAATAAACATGACATGGGAAACATAAACGATTGACATTATGAAAACTATACGCTCACCAATGATTGAGACACTAATTTTGGGCTTGATGAATATTAAAATAAGAGTATTTCAACCAGTGCCATCAATTTATATAAATATGAAAAGGGTTTGCAAGTCACTCAACCGATATTTTAGTTAAATGTTAACTAGTTGTTGTATGAAACCTTGTATGCAACGATAAGATCGTAACGTTTAACCGATTTCAGTGTAATAACTTAAAATCCTTTTAACGGGTCGATTACTACTTGGATATGTTATTACAGTGATTACTTACTAGCTAAAAATACCATCCATTTATTTACACTTATCAACTATCTGTCTTTCTTATTTTAACTATTAGAGTGATTATCTACTTTGAAGTTTATTATGTTATGCGGTCGTTTGAACCTGATACTGCTATAAAAATTTCCTACCCTACGACTCAGCCTGAGACTTGCATGGAGAAACCAAAAGTAAATGGCAAGATCTTACTGGCTAATCTGAATCAAATGTATGCATATCTATTTCCCTTCGAAAATTAAGCTGCATTATCAATAGTGTATATCCATTTCCACATAAAGTTAGTTCAAATCTTGACCAATGTTGTGAACCCCTCAGCATCTCGTACTTGCTAGGTTTGATTGATCTAGGGCATCGAAGTTCCAAACAGTAATATATGCCTGTCATTATGATTTACTATTCGAACACACACTTGGACTGTAAATAAAAGCTTAATGACTAATTACGAACGTTTTCGACATTTGGTATGATGTGCTAAAGAATAGGATTGGAGCAGAGCCTCACTGTTAAATTCCCTCGATGACTCAAATCAAATGACTGAGTCACGCGTAAAACCTGAATTCAAAACAAAGTATTTTTCTTTAAAATGGTATCATCATTGGAGTGAGAAAGAACAAAGATTTGAATAGAATGGCGTTAATTCATTTTATTTTGTTTGGTTTTCGTCAGCTGCTTACAGTCTGTGATATTTAGTATTGATAACAACATAAGTAATGTATTTTACAAATTTCGCTTTTTGAGGTATTCAATGCGTTTACACACATCAAGATACCATAAAATAAATGGTGCCTTTTGCAATAATTGCGTAGTGATTCCTTACAAAAACATACGGCAAATTAAATGACGGCAATCAGTCATATTAGTCCAACAATAGCAATCACCAAATCGAAACGATAATAACACACGTAATTTATGTAAATTATTGCAAATGAAAAGTAGCTCAATGAATTATGAGAAATGAAAAACCTTTTAAAATTTTAGGAGAACACATTTACGTTAATAAATTGATTAAGTTTCTCAGATCCATGTAAATATCTCACAACAACAAAGGGACATTGAACAGTATTCTAACCCGTAAATCAATTTCATCTTATTTTTCTCCAACCCTCTGATTACTATGCAACCTCATTTGTTGTTCGCAATCTCAAATTACGTTTTGATGGAATCTTTTATTTACTTCTATAGACTTATATATTTACCAAACAGTCATAGAAACGAACGTACAACTTGAGTAAACAATTTCGTGGAAAAGTAGTTTTCTTTGCTAAATTCTCTTTATTTTTATTCAAAAATAATATTAGTTCCTAAATATTAATAAGTAGTATAATATTATACACGAAAAGAAACGGAAAATCGAAAGATTGAAAATAAAAGTAAAATCAAAACCCAGAACTAGTAAATCAGTATTTTTGTTATGAATCAGATCATTTTCTAAAACTCAAAGTTAAAAACGCGTAGATTTTTTTATTATGATCATTCTTTCCTCTTTATGCATAATATTATTTCGTTTTTAAAAATATCCTTTCTGTTTTCAGCCTTATCCTACCGTTGTCATCAATTTGTTAATGTTTCTGTCAGTTATCCGCTAATATGTAATCTATGTAATGATTATATAGTGACACCACGGTGTAATGCTAATAGATGCTTTGCTTGCAAGTCTGTATTTCATCTTGTTTGTGCTGAATACTCTAAAAGATTTGAAGTATTTACGTGTCAGCCTCCAGCAAATGACAATTCGACAATTATATCAGAGAAATTGACTTGTTCATCAACATGTAATGCCTTCTCATTGTTATCGTCTTCTATTTCAACTACTGAACAGGTATTTTTATTTCGTGATTTATTTTCATTCATCTTCGATGCTCTTATATTCGGTAAGATTTTACATTAATAGATATTTTCAATAGTTGAGTTCATGAGTCATTTGAAGCTAGACCACCATGGAGAACCTGGGGGTATTGGACGGACGTTCCGCCCTACTGTGGTGCTTCACAGTAGCGCGCACCCACGACCCCTCCTCGCGGGGTTTGGACCCATGACTTACTGGTTCCGCGCCCGAGCATCTAACCACTGAGCCGTCGTCCGGTGATGTTAATGTCTAACTTCAACCAATCCACGAAACTGAGCGGGGTCGTGGATGCGCACTGCCGAGGAGTCGTGCAATAGGACGAAACGGCCGTCCAGTGCTTTCAGGTTTTCCATGGTGGTTTTAGCTTCAACTGACTCATGATCTCAACTATTGAAATCACGAAAATCTCCACAAAACCCCTTCTGACATTAATAGAAATATTAGTCTGCGTGTGTTTATTGCAAAGCTAGTGGTGATAGTATCAGTAGAGATGCGACGTAGTTCTCTTTTTCCTGAAAATTTTATAACATGTCATAAACATCTATATTTTCACTCGGGATGAAACACGAAAACAGTCTTCAAAGTGTTGTAAGTGGGCACTAAAGTTTTTCCTTCAGAGATTCGCTAATACTCGAAGCGAAAAATAAAACCAAAAAGTTGGTCGACCAGACTGTATACCTCTGAACATAGAATGTAGAACTGTTGCACAAGTCAGTTTTATCTACTTGAGGTGTCATACTCGTTTGTATAGATCGATTTTCAATAGTCATATGCGATTAGAGAATCCGTATCAGTTGTTACTCGTTTCGCATAGCGCTTGCTATGTCTTTTGCACAGAATGTCTTAATTATGGCCTGTAAATTATAGGTTGGACACTCGTAAACGCAGAGAATCTCATCATGACGACATTTCCGTAAATCAATATAGGGCTCAATTTTCGGTGTGTGTGATTTATAGCTGTTACTTGGATAAAACTAGGAGGATTTCCATAGAGCTGTATAGTTAATTCTAGGGTTTTCCTTGTATCTCATTTAAAAATCTTATACTGTAGATTTACCAAGCTTTTATTAGCGTTGCTGATAATTCTCCTAATTGAACGATAGACTTGGTTCTTAAGCTTTTCTAGTAACCTCCAGGCTAGATTTACACAGCGACTTGAACACGAGAGAAACGGCGCGAAATATAGAAGAAAACGCTTTACTCCAAAGACTCGTTTATATACAGAAAATCTAGGGTTTTTGTAGTATTTTAGATGTCCTTGGGTTTCCGGAAAATTCTGGAATGCTACTAAACGTAGTAGCAGTATGAGTAATCATCCAACCAGAAATTCGACATGTGACTTTTCACTTTTTAGACGTTTCTGGCAAAACGTCTATTGAACGCTGATTGAATAAGATGCTTTTCAGTGTTTTAAGAGCCTTTCTTGAACTTTTTGAGTTTTCCGGATCTTCCCAACAGTCGGATTGTAGGGAAATTTTGTAGCTAGAGAATAAAACTACAATTATTTCTCATACTACAAGCCGAATAAGATCATTTTCATGGTATATTGGTTTAGAGCCAAATAATATCAGAATGAAGGTTTGTAGAACTTGTAGTAATCTGATAGTTGCATTCATGAATCTATTTAAACCAGACAACCCTGGAAAACCTGGACGCATCGGACGGCCGTTTCGTTTAGCAGTGCACATCCATGATCCCTCACGCAGGATTCGAGCCCAGGGCCTTCAGTCTTGCGTGCGAACGCTTAACCTCTAGATCAATAACCTGTAGTCTACTATACAGTCATACAGAAACTACTGAGTTACAGACAAAATTTAATGTATGGTTTAGACACTGTAAAATGTTTGAATTTTTAGTCGCTCGTTGAAGTAATCTAGTTACGTAGAGTTGCTTTTTCCTTAATCTACTGAAGCGTTTCGCATAGTTTATTAACAGCTTAATCTGTTGTTATGTACTAGGAGATCTTATTTAGACTTTCTATTTCCTAATCTCTGTTACTATACTTTAGTTTTATTGAATAGTTTTATCTATAGATGAACCAGTCACTAGGTGATAACCGATGTCCCTATATATTTTTAAAAAACGATTGAATATTCGTGATTAAATGTTAATTAATATTACTCTAAGGTATTTTATGTTTCGGTAAGTTTCCTCATCGGTTCAACCCAATTACAATTACATTTAAGTATTTTAATTATTTTAATAACCATAGTTAGAACTACATTTGAATAATTGGTCGAAAACTCATCTTATTTCGTCGAGTTTCTATCAGTCGTGTATAATATGATAAAATAATCACACTAACATTGTATAAATAAAAAATACAGTTTTAAGGGTATAATCTTAATGCATTAAGCTCGCATTTTTTGTGTAAACTATCAGTTTATCATATAATAATAAATGTTAGAAAGATTAAAATGTCTCGATTATAAGACATAGAAATAAATACTTATGTGTAGGTAGGTTAGAAAATGGTCGATAAATCTAGGAATGACAATGATTTGATCATGTGAAAACCTATTTATTCGGAAATAAGTTCTTAGGCTCAATGAAAAGATTATTATAGTAATATTAACAATAATACTATAGTAGTAGAAATAGTGTTGGGAATGAAGTGGAAAATCTTTGTAAGACAATAGCTCATGATGTCTTTTAAACGCATATTTTGTGTATTTTTAGCCACTGGCTTCTTGGAATTGTACTCAAGTAGCCCATTGGTTAGCTGTTGTTGGCCTTGGTCGATTTGTTCGATTATTCATCAAATTGAATTTAGATGGTAATTTCCTTTCAGAAGTTACTTATGCATCACCTCATTTGTGTAGAGTAGCTGACCCATTTGCTCGTGAAACATTAGAAAGAGCAATATTGGTGAGTTTCCCTCTGTATCCTTGTTTTATCTATGTGTTTATACCATATTAATTATTACTCAACTTAGCAATTATCAACTAATTAAATTTAAATAAATCTACTTATTTTAAGTAAATCAGTGTAACTAGTTTCATGATAAGTTCATAAGTATACTATTTAATAGGCTTACTATATAAAGTCATCATGGTGACATAATTAAGCAAATGATTTACATATGATTATTAAATTTTTGTCCGAAACTTTACAATACATACAATACTCGACTTTTATTTGTTAACTAACTGATTTACAATCAGCCTTCATTTTAATTTGATTAACTAGTTAATTTTTATAGTTCTCTCACATTGCTCATAAAAGTTAAGTTCATAAATATATACTTGATTAATGTAAAAGTTTAACTAATTGACGGAAATAATAATTTTTCTCAATGTTGTAGATAAATCATGGATTCTTTTGGTTGGTACTAAATTTATTGGTACATTTCATTATCTTACAGTCTATGCATTTGTCTGTTAATTTTATCGTGTTCTGATCTCCTTAGAATTTTATAGTGCTAATGTGAAAATTTTGACAAAAAACTAACGTACAGTGTGGTTGTTTGGTTTCTCTTTTTTATTGATCTAAAGGGGATGAACTCACTAGAATAGTTATTTAACGATGGTAGGATGGTTGGGAAATCGTAGAACGAGAACAACATTCATGCTTTTGGGATCTTGAATCTCCAAAGATGTTGCTTTCTCTTTTCAGTAAGAAGTATTTAGGAGACAATTAGCTATAAAAAATTAATATCTTACCTTTATCGTGACATTTTGTTGCAGATGATTGTGGGTATTTTAAGAATGGATGAAACTTCGAGGTTAGAAATCACCATTAATCTAATCTACTTTCGCTTTCGTACGCATCCTGGTGTGAATTTCAACAACAGGATCAAACCAGCACAAGCTATTCAGACACTTGTCTATACAATAATTTATTTTTACAATTTCGAATTCTCCTTTCCTGTATATTCATGGTTGTCACAGTTTTCTCAACTCCTCTCTCTGTGTCTTTTGGTGATAATTCACATATATAAGTAGTAATATTGACTTCCTAAGACTGCCCTTTTGTTTGCATGCTGTATTTTTTGATAACCTAACAATATATCTAGATACTGAGTTTATTGTTTTTGTGAAACACATCGAAGTTCAATTGTAAATCATATGTAGTATATTGTCTAAGTGTATCTGTTAATGAGTTCCACTTAACAACCAACTGTATGCTACTTGTATTGAATGATTCAGGGGAAATGTGTAGTCTCTTCAGCTCAAATCATACGAACATAATTAGAATTTAATCACATGAGGTTTTATTTATTACACTTCATGTCACCTAACGATAATACCTATTTGTCTATCTACCTACCTACAAAAATGTTGTTCTATATATAAAGGTTAAACCAGGTTACTGGAATGTTTTAGTGTCTGGCGTCAGATCTCGATTTTTATTTTCGTGCCTAACTTTGATTTTCCATTCGAATATTAACTGGCCATTGAAAATTGCTGATAGTTATCATTATCTATTTAGCAAAGGTTCATAATTGTTTTTAGTTGCATTTTCTCATATATTACTAGTGTTTTTGTTGCATAGTGTCATTTATCTTCATTGGTCTTGCGTGAGCTTTGTTTAAAAATTTTGTTTTTTTCTTTTTTTCTGTAAAAGACTTTACAAGGTAAAGAACCTACTCCTGGAGAAAATTTGGACATATTCGCGAATTTGGATATCGATAGAAAATTTCCAGGAGAAATTAGTGATTCTCGGCAGCACGATTTCCAGCTCACCTCTTTTTACAGAATAGTCTCATGTATAGTGTGCAATATTCCTTTGTTAGGTATTCCATCACTGTTACTTTTATGTCTTTTTGCTTATTGTCTTATTAAAATCAAGTGATCATTAAATTATAAAATCATAATTAGAAGCACCAAGAAATATATTACAGTACAACTTACAAATTTGTACAGAAACTAACGTCAGCTTTGTCTTCCAACGTTTGTGATTTTAAACACACATGAAGCAGAAGTTGTATTTGGGGAATTCTAAATACGAGTAAATAAGTATATATATATATATATATATATATATATATATATATATATATATATATATATATATATATCTGTGATCTCTTGGTTGTGTTAAAAGTATTATTGGTATTTTACTTTTCCATTAGAATTATCACCTGTTTTCTGTTCATTTTCGTAGGCTTCAGTCATCAGGGATTCCAGTGTAAAAAGTGTGGAGCTATTTGTCATCGTATCTGTAAAGCTTTAGAGTATTTTTCAAATTGTCCTGGAGTATTTTGTGCGACTAAAGAATTTAATCCGGAAAAGTCGGGCTCTGGCTGTGAAACGAATGAAATTCCCACTTCATTGGTTCCGTATGTTAGTGAATACTTTGGTGTTAAATTGGAAGAACAAGTAAAGTCATTGTTTTACAACTTATATCATGGAAATATATATATATATATATATATATATATATATATATATATATATATATATATATATATATATATATATATTATCAGGATGTCTAAATGTTTTTAGAGTACTCGGTAATATTGCCTTCTATTATTGTGTTTAAATTTTTTATTGCTGTAATAATAAGTTGTGATCTGCATAGAATAATGCTTTCACACTGTTAAATTCTACACTAAAACCGTAAATTGATGGATTCAACTCATAGTTTGTATAGTTTTACTTTGTTTTATAAGGAAGTTACCTGTTGACAACTATTCTTGTTGTTTAAGAAAATTTATTGAAATGTAAGCCAAATATAACCATTGCTGTAGATGACCTTCAAATTCTATTAAATAATTGTGTAAAATAATTGACTTATTGTTATTCCCTTTTGTACATGGATGCCAAACAGTTCAGATATCCTTCTGAGAGCAAAAATGTATATTCATCAGTTACTTTAAAGGTATTATTTTCTAGTTGTTTAAACAAAACAATTTTCCTGTATTGAGATCTTTTTGATGAAACTCAAATTCACTGACCGTCTAATAAAAATACAATGGTAAAAACCTGGATAAGTTGTATGCATATTATTCACACAGCTATAAATATATCTTCAAGAGGGTAACTTTACATTGGTTTTTTGAAAAAGAGACACCATGCGGGTTTTACACGACCTGAATAGCATAGCTCAATTCTATGACGCAACCATAAAGGTATCAAGATTCCAGGTGGATCACTATATATATATATATATATATATATATATATATATATATATATATATATATATATATATATATATATATATATATATATATATATATATATATAAGTATTCAACCCAGCGACCATATTCAAGTATTTAGATTAGATAAATATATACATCTGTCAAAGAAATCAATATGTTATTACTCTTTTGAAAGTTGTATTTAATATATTGGGAGTCAGTTTTTCATATTACTGATTTTCCACACTAAAGTTATTTCTTTGCATATATGATAAGTTTACGTACAATCAATTATTAAATTATCTCTAAAACTATTTTTTTTGTTAATTTTTCTTATAGAAATTAGATTCTAATTCAAAAGTCCCTGTATTCTTAACTACATGTACTGAACAAATAGAAAAACTAGCTTCTGAAAGTTTTATTACTGCCAGTAATAATCCGTGTATTCAACCTGTTGACTTGGCTATGGTTTATCAACAGTCAGCTTTAACGTATACTCTACAAGAACTTCATGATACATTTGCTCATTGTTTACCATTACCTGGTATAGAACAGTCATCTACCCATCCGTTGGACATTGTACGTTTTGCCCAATTAATGAAAGCTTTTCTTCGTGATTTACCAGTGAATGTGATACCTGAAGAGTACTATTTAGATTTTTGCAGTTTAGCAAATATAAGAAATATAGGTAAGTTGTTATAATTACCACTGAACAACAAAATCCTGTAATTTTATTTCCTGCATTTTGTATGTTAATAAGTTCACTTTGTTCTACTCTGAGTGTCTTTCATATAGAATTATTTTTTTTCTTTTTTGTTACTAGATGAAAAGAAAAAAGCTGTTCATGCATTTATTCAAAGTCTTCCTGAACTTCATCGGTTGTGTTTGATTCATATTTTTAACCATTTAGGTTTCGTACTGAATCATCAAAATAAGTTAAGGTCTTATTTGTCAGATTCATCGTCTGTCAATCTGAACCGGTCGACTTCATTTTCCAGTATAAATGTATTGAATAAAGCTACTCCTTGGTTGATGGTTTTTCGACAAATCCTTGTTCGACCACCATGGCATCTTATCACCGACATAGCTATGGGTATGGATACACATATGCGTGCTTTAGAGGCTCTCTTTTCATCTTTTGTTGATCTTTCCACTGAGGAATCAGAATGTACATCCCAAACTAAAAATTCCGAAGCACAATCTGATGTATCAGATTCAAATCTTCAGAGAAATTATGTATCTTTTTCGCAATTTGAACGTATTTGTAAGTTATCGTGTTCTTGATTATGCGGTTTATTTGTTATTTTGTTGTTGTTACATTTACCATTTGATTCCAATGGATTTCGGAATATTCACAAAACGTAAGGTCACATATAACAAGAGGATTTCTAACGGGTATCATAATAAGTACGCAAGTGAATTTAACATTCAGACAACTGTTGAGAAATTATATACCATTTCTATAACCATTTATATTTGTTTTTCTGAATACAAAGGTTTGCTTACCGCTGTTTATGTTTTCCGTTAACACCTTTCAACGGTCTAATAAATATTCATTCCCGGTATTTCTAGAATTAGAAAGGTTGGTTTTAATCAACCTTAATCATATTCCTTTCATTTTCAGTGAAATTTAGTAGTTTAATATACAAAGTGTGGTTGAAATAAAAACTAACGACCAAAACTCGGCTACATATGCTGTCAGTATATTCGATTTAGTTTTTGATATTCTTCAACAATGAATTTTATCAGTAGTTTTCATCGGCTGAAAAAGACAGAGGAGCACTTGATAGATATTTCTTCTAGTATTCTACGATTTTCAATGATTGCTTGATTTATATCAGTCCAGATGTTAATTGGTTGGTCAGAATTAAGCGCATACTGTTTGTTCATTGATGATATAACTATTGTATTTAGCTCACCACATTTTTGACTGTACTGTCTTGACTTGGAACAACTCGGCTGATCTAACGATTCTTAACGAAATTTTATCGAGTATATCATTCGGTTTTTATATTCATTTTTCATGTGTTTGAGTGATGTGCAACTTACACTATACTATCTTTTTATCCAGGTTTTCCTGTTTCATTGCAAATTAGTTTGAAATTAAGAGAATAAGGCGTTCGTTATCTAATAATTAAACTGCATATTGTAATCATGCATTAAGATGGAATAAATCTTAGATTTATTCAAATATTCAAATGGTCTAAATGTTTTAAGTTTCTGTTAGTAATTATCAAGAAATAAAGGGAGATGATTATAAGCAGTTATGCCAAAATTTGTGTTATATGGTGATTACCTAAACGCTCATTAGAGTAGGTTAGTGTTTGGTTGTATAATTTAATAGCTGAATTCTGACTATTTATGCCGTTCCTAATAAAATTTCACATAATTGTTAATAATTCTGTTTGAGTGGGATTTTGAGTTGACTTGATTCTACCAATCGAATTTTATCTATTTGTAGTTCCATGTTCTTTTATTTAAAGCCAGATATCAAGATGAAAAACATACATCTTCAGAATCCGTCTCACTATATCCTACTAATGAAGTTGCACCAACGATTAATACTCCACCTAGTCCTAGTTCAATTGCTGCTAATAAAAAAGATTTAAAGAATCAAGAATGGTATTGGGGTGATATAACTCAAGAAGAGGTACGTGAACTGATGACAGATCTTCAAGATGGATATTTCCTTGTTCGTGATGCTTCTGGAAGTTCATCTGCTGCATTCACTTTGGTAGTCAGGTATTTTGTGTATATTTACTTACGTATTTCGCGTTCTAAAGCAAAACATTTATTTTTGAATGGTATACTATAATTCACTATTTGAAATATTTAGCATAATTATTTAATCAATAAAATTTTTCTCCATGACTTACCTATGTTTAACTACTTTACTATCTCACCATCTAGTTGTGTTTTCTTCATATTCCTTCAATAGATGGCGTGGTTTAAATAAGTTGAATCGAATCTATCATCGTGGTGATTATTTCGGGTTCACTGATCCCCCATATCCAAGTTGTCGTTTAGTTTCTGAACTTGTTGAATTTTGTCGTGTTCATCCACTGACTTTGACTAGTTGTAGCAGTCTACGATTAATTTGGCCTGTATCACGTCGTCATAAACGTTTTCATGGCAAAACTGATATCTCATTCGATAATACTGTATCTGATGAGAATAGGAGCGATGCAGATGGAGTGTTTGCCTGCTTCCTAACTAAGTCACAATTAAACAGTGAATTGAAAAGTAAAGCTGCTGAAATTAATCAATTGGATAAAGTTATTACTGATTTACAGCTGCAGTCAAAAAATGCAATTGATTTGAAAGAAGAAGGTGTTCGTCTTATAAAGGGTTATCAAAAGATACGTAATTGGTTACAGACCTCATTGAGTCAGTTAGATGATTATTCATATCCTAGTGAAAAGTAAGTGTAAATGATAAGATTAAAATCATTTTCTATTCCCTTATAGTTTTACACTATCTACTAGGAACGTTTTGCAACTCGAACTTTTATATTCATTATTTAATATCTTATCTCTATTCTGATTCATGAGAAATATTCGAAATTATTGGGATCTTGTTATAAATTAAAGCAGAGTTTGTCTTCATCGAAATGTCAAATATCGAAGGAAAGTTTTTATCTATAATACAATTGCATTCATCATGTAATAAAAAAGAAACTATTAACTTTTATCAACAAAAGTAATGATTTCTTGAAGAAAAAAAACTATTATTTGCATGATTTCTTACTTTCTATACAGTCACAAACTTAGCTAGGAGAGCCAAATAATTATAACTTATCAAATTACTGGTCGTCATTCCTTGATCTTTATATAAAAATTGATTGCAGAATGAAAACGGATATCATTCAGTAGTTATTTTTTCAATGTAGGTTTTGTTATTGTAAATAGATTCAACTGCGTCGTTACAATAACATTCTCATGAAATTGGAATTAGTATAAAAAGCATAACTTAGTAAAATATCACTGAAATCCAAAAATACCTTTTACTATGACTTCGTGAATGTGCTTTATGTGAATGTTGGGCAACGTTGACGTTTATACTTGGTTAATTTATGATGTCATAACACTGTTAAATCTTCCACCTTACGATGTAAACGAGTGTAGAAAAATATTGATATAATCGAATCGACTGGTACGAATGTAGACTAATAATATGCCAGTTGACAAGTGGGGGTGTTATCCTCATTACTTTGGGTTTTATTGAAGCTCAGGAAGTCTAGTATATTATACCTAACCTACAGATATTAGTTGGCAAAAATACAACGCTTTACGTACATTACAAAATAACTTGGAATTATAATGGAACGTTGAGAAGATTAGCTAGAAGCGAACGGAAACAGAGAGTGATTGGTATGAAAATGAAGGAACAGCAAAGTCTGAAACAATTGATGGACATTTTGCAAATGACGTATTTACTGTATTTCTCTCGGATTTTACTAAGAGACTATACTTCATGTATGAGTTAATTTAACGTTTTTGAATGGACTTTTGTGATAATTGATGTTTTCTTTCTACTAATATTGGCACTTATTGTTGATTTTTGTAGTTTCGAAAATCATGTAATCTCATTGGACCTTGAATTTAATAATTTTCAGCACGTTTTCAAATTAGTTTTAAATTTACTAAATGTTTTGATCACTTAGGTTAAAAATCTCACCTCAAATTGAAACACTAAAAAGAGAAATAGATGAAATTGAAAGACAAATCAAAATTAACAAGGAAGAGGTTAATAATCAATCCAAAAAAGCTCGAATAATATGTGAAAATTATGCTAATGCAATTTTTCGTCAGCGTAAAGTAAGAAGACAGGCCCACGAGATTCGGCGAGCATTAAAAGATCGAGGATTTAAAGAAGAGTCTTTATCTTCTTCGAGTTCTTCATTATGTGATGATTCCATTTCTTCAGCGAAACAGTCAGTCGATAACCAGAGTAATATTGTACCGGGAAATTCTATAAGTTCTCATGATGATATCTATTTACCGGAGGAGATACGTGATCGTCGATATTGGTTCCTCACAGATGCTACTAGAGAAAAGGTAGAGGAGTTACTAAGCGATAAACCTGCTGGGACTTTTGTTGTCAGACCTTCTGCTACTAGTGATAAATTGGCGTTGGGTATACGGTAAGTTTTATTTAATTTTACATACAGTTTATTGCTTAATAATTTCTAAAAACTTTTTGGCAGAATTATATATAGTTACTAACATTAATATTTATCACATATATATCTCTACAACATTCTAATAGGTTTTGATAATTGAATTTGTGAATCTAATATTTGTTTTATATCCAGTAAACTGTTACGATCGGTTTGTTATCTCCTGATTTCTCCTTGTCTCTTTTTTCTCTTCCCAAATTTATTTCACTGGAATATACTCCTTGAATAACATCTTCAAACCCTAATGTTTCCGATTACTGCTTATACTCTTACTACCTCTACCACTATGGGATTTGAATCGACAACTGCATCTCTGTGCTAATGTTGTATGGCAACTCGAACTGGTGTACATACATACGTACAAAGTTCTACGTTGTTACTGACTGACTTTTGTTATTTAAAAAAATTATCTTATAGGAGATAATATAGGTTTTCTATTCCTTTTTTTTGTTTGTTTTGTTTTGTATTCCCTTTTTAATTGAATCGATATTATTAATTAAACTAAATTAATTCATATGGTTTACTTAGGTTGATTGAATTAAAAAGTGATATTTATTTCTATTTCAATTATGTTTTGCATGTTAAATATTTATTAATTGAATATCCCTTGATCTAAATTCTGTGTATAAATAAACAAATAAATTTATTATGTAGACTAAACATGAATAAAAAAACCCTACTAATCTAACAATAAAATCTTTCCTATCCATTAACAATCATTGATTTATTCATAAGGTAAGTAATTAATAAGTGGAAGTAATGTTATGCAATATTCTAATCTGTTTGGTTTGTTTACATGAGAAATAGTCTATTAATGTTCTTAGTGTGTGTTTAACGTTTGATGGGTAAGTGATTATTTAACTACTTTGATGAATTTAAGTGATAAAATAAATAATTCTTAAAATAACCTATAGTGAGGTTAGTTGTTGATTGTTTTCCATTTCCTTTAATTATTCCCCAGTTAGTATTAATCTATGATAAAAACAAACTAATCTTCATAAATATTTTTATTAGAATTTCTCTTTTTCTTTAATGAGGAATTAGATCTAAGATATCTATAGAATAATCTGTAGTATTTATAACATTATCATTTTTAAATCAGGATACTTAGATTTAATTAAGGCGAATTGGAAGTTAACTTTGCTGTTATTTGAAGATCAAAAGTGATGACATCAAGAATCCGAACTTGTGTCTGACAGTCAGTTTCTTTTAACTACCCAAAGTAGCCATGAATCATAAATCTTTATTAGTATTGTTTACTAGTTAACTTTAGTAATTTCTGCGTAAATGAGGTTGATATAGGTTATTCACAAACCAAATTACTATAATTAAAATCATGAATATTCACCTATCCTTAATTCTAGTACCAGATAACTTCTGACCTGTTCTTGGATATATATATATATATAGTTTGATAACCTTTGTCATTCCAATCCTTTACATTCATTTATGTCAATTGTTCCATATTATTTCTTATCTCAACGCAAAATTCCAATACATATTTCGTTGTAAGCAGCTGACGAGAAACCACGAAATATAATGAATTCATATTATTCTACATCATTGTTTGTTCTGGCTTTATTTAAATTCATAAAGGGAACTAATTGCATGAAATATTCGAAATAGAGGACATCAATAAAATGGTTAAAGATGAGTTTTTTTTGATCATCCGAATTGAACCATTTGATTTAAACCGGCTGCATATGATGAATCGGCTGAAATTGGCAATTACTTGCATAATGCAAAATTATTTACTAAAAGATACTCTGAAAGCCATCATAGAGTGTTGATGTAGTATATTGTAACACATACCTGTCAATATGACATTCAGATAATCGTAAAGCTAATAAGATGTAATAAAGGCAGATAAGGATAACAGTATTTTTAAAAAATTAATTCCCCTTACAATTAAAGATGTGTGTAATTTGGTATATAGTCCAGTTTTGTGAACTTGTAATAACCTTTTTAGTTTAAGAATGCACATATTCTAATCAATATAGCTAGTAAAGTTTACTGGATAGTACGAATACTTCCTGTTCAGTATCCCGTTTTATAAAGGTACGAATCTCTAGCAAACTATTATGATTATCAATTTTTATATAAATACTGAAGATTAACATACCGTCACATTCCTAGAGAGGTTTAGTATTATTCACTATCGATTGTTACTTGGAGAATCAGATAATCGTTTTATCCTATCAAGGGAGTACGCAAATCTGCGACACGACCAGGTGTCTATCTCAGAACCTTCAAACAAATTGTTTAAGAAGTAAGCTAATATGCTACCATTTCAAAGAAGTAAGACCTATTTTCAAAGTTAGAAAAATGATGTATCGGAATAGTCAAACATAAGCCAAATGATCACCACATGTCATTAGTTGAAAACGTGGCTGTATTTTTCAAGTGAAAAAGATGTATATTTGTGAATGATTGTACTTATATTATTGATTTGGTTCAAGTTAATAAAGCGTCTTCACTTCCAGTCTTCTTACCTGTATAGTTGGTTAAGAAGTTTTTATGTCAGTATCAGAATCGGACAACCACACAACATAACATTAGCTCATAAATTCAAGGTCAACTTCAAAATATAATAGTCACATGTCGAAACAATGTCTCTGTATGGTTGATTTATTGATCAAAACACTACTTACTTCAACAAACTATTTTGTCTATCATAACGAAAGCCACAAGACATTCTCAAACTGTTGATGATCACCAATCAGGAGTATATGTAATGCTTAGAACAGACATTTCTCACATTGAGGGGATCCAGTATTATATATATATATATATATATATATATATATATATATATATATATATATATATATATATATATATATATATATATATATATATATCCTTAACTTTCATTTTATCTTGTTTTGTTCAGGTTAGCAACATCTGTTCAACATTGTTTAATTCATTGTGTAAATGGAAAATATGGATTTGTTGAAAATTCTTGTACATTTGAATCATTGGAAGCTTTGATCTGTTACTATCATGTGGAGAATTTAAAGCGATACAATAATCTACTCAACATAACTTTAAAGTATCCAATTAAGTTGCAATTGGATGACTGAACACATAATAGGGAAAGAGATTATATGGTGTATTTGTTTTATTTCATGATCCTTTTTTGTTAACTCCTGTTTATATTGTATGTGTATGTGTTTGTTCATTATTGTGTATTCATTCATAAGAATACAGATAACTTTCGTCTTTTATTGTTTACATTTTTCTAATAACGTATCTTTCTTTTATCAGTAATCAACAATTACTATATGGAACTATCAATTCCAACCTTAGCATTGATAATCGCCATATGCCTTAATATCTATTGTTTGTTCATTTTTCGGGATTCAAATTTTTTTAATTTTATTATTATTACAGTATTTTTATGTTGGCGAAAAAATACCATTCAGAAATCGTACTCTAGTTTTCTCCTCCCCTTTCGTTTCTCTGTTACTCTCATTATATTTCCAGAATTATTTCTTCATAATAAATTCCTTCTTTGTGTAGGTAAAAACAGATCCTGATTGTGTTTATTGAATACTTCGCTACATAACTGAATAGAAAACAGCTATTATTATTATTGATGTTGTTAGAATACAATTTGTTTTTCAGTCTTCTTTTACCTCTCCATTTTCTCATCTTTTCTTGATCTCATCATCAAGACGAAAGAAACATGAAAAACAAAAAAATATTTTGGTGTATACAATTGATTAATGATTATTTCACTATACTGACATTTTCTTTACCTGTGATTTACTACTTTACACCTTGCTGTTATATTTCCTTTTAAAACTTTACAAAAATTATTTTACAGTCCGCTAATAGTTTATTATTATTTTGTTTTTCGCTTCAATCTTTTTTTTATCTTCAGATCTAAGCTTATTATTATTATTATTGGTTTGTGTTATTATAATTGTTGTATCTTTACCACTTTAGAATAAAGTTAACCATACGAGCTTTCATTTAATTAGAAAAAACCCTGTTCATTAATCTTTATAGAGGAATGTTCCCTTTTGTGGATCGGATTTTTGTTGTTGTGTAAGTGTTTCTTATTTCCTTCGATATTAAATTTTTCAATTGTATCAACCATTTTCATCGATATCTAGAAATTGACAGATTCGCATAGATACATCATTAATTTTGCTCAGTTTTGAAACTTTATTAATTTTTTGAACTGCAATCTAAATCAACTTTATTATTGCCTTGTCTTACCTTATTATCCCCATGAATTGGAAATGTTGACCTGAAATTTTGTTCAATTAAATTCTTTTCACAGTGAATTCAAGAGCCTTTTATATACTATACACTTAGCCTAAAGGTCATTGCTTATATGATCGAATTCAAGATTGTTTTGATATGAGTTAAGCTAGATGTTTGATAAGTTTCTATAATTAAATAGCAATTATTTGGAATAAGGCACTAGAAACTTTAAATTCTGACTGGAAAGAACTCAGTAATTTTAAATATTTTAACGAATATAGAGTATGCTATTATCTTGATGCGAATCTGAGTACATTTATAATGCCACGTTTATGGTAGAGTACAATGTGCTTTGTATCTTAAAGGCTAGCTGATTTGCACTCAAACGTCGTTTATTCGAATTACCGAACATTTTGTTGAAGGAGGCGATTTATTTCACATCAGCCATACTTAGATAGGTTCCTTGTGTGTAAAAGGAGGTAGGTTTGATTGTAGATTTGGATATTGTATATAATTTGTACGCTGATGTATACACTAAGCCATCAGTACCCATGGTTTTCCAATTCTTCACAGATATAATTTTCCGATTATGCCGCTGAGAAACTATCTTGTGAAGGTTGGTCTGATTACTAATTAAATGTTTTGTGGAAATCGGGGCATATAGTCATTTCAGAATCCAGCGTCTTATAAGCTAATGAAATTATACTTTTACGTTGTGCAGGATTTCCAAATTCATTCTAATATTATATATATCAGCGTTCTTATTTGACATTTCCAATTTTTATTATGTTGTGTAGATAAAACCTGGTGTTAGTGATATTCAGAGCAATAATAAAGCCTAGTAATTAAGTGTGAATTCCATTGGAGCACAGGTGACCTACAACTCATTATTCTTTGATGGAGAACCATATTTAGAAGAAAAAGTGATAATCTATGATAAATTGCCGGAAAATAGCTTTATCGATGTATTTAAAATCGATACTGTTTTTGTATGAGAAATAATAACAGTTGTTAATATGAATCCACTTGGTATTGTTTACTTGTATCTTCCTATTGATGATTAGGACTGCAATTGATCAGTCTCTTATTGGCATATGTGCATACTGTGCGTATTGCCTCGATATTATCTTAATTCACAAACATTATAAGCAAAGATGGATATTGGCTAGCAGTGGAATCCAAGACTCAGGTTACGTCTCATTCTGGACTCGTCAGCTGCATGTACATGCATCTCAGAGTTGATGTTCACTCTGATTAAAATTGAAAAAAAGATCTAAGAACATAAATCTAATTGTTGTAACCAAATATTAGCTCTATTAGTCCAAAATCAAATATATATGTGGTTACTAAGATAAAGAAATATTCTGTTAATATATATGTGCTTTATGTTTATATTTTGGATTATTCTATTAAGTGTTTAAAATAGTTTCTACAAATTAATATTGTCTACGCTTAAATGAATTTTTTAAAGCCTCAAAATATTTCTTTATATTGATCAATGACCTGAAACAGTAATTATGATTTGTTAATCATGTCTCAGTAATAACGTTCAAATACTATACATAGTTATTAGAATTACGAGAAATGTTTATTAAAGTTTTTTTTCAATATGTCTGTTTGTTATTTATTTGTGGTCCCCAAATGCCCTGGTACGGCCGAGAGTAAGGAGAGTTCGCTCTCCCTCTTGAAATGCTCTCACATGGCCACGCGTATATAGCCTCTGTCAGGGAAGTCCTACTCACTGCCTTCTAGTGGCTGGGCTACTGTTTACGAAAATGAGAGGACGAAAAGCGAATGTCTGGCGCTTTAACCGGATTCCAAATCAATGGTGCACATGCACTTCAGTATCCTGAGGGAACAAATGGCGTATGAACCAATTGTTGGTCACCGGCTTCCATGGGACTGCATCTCCTTACAATGCTCCACTGCCTTGTGTATCAGATCTTCAGGTCGAAGGCTCGGGGTGTGGCCCCCTAAGTAAACCACCTGCTTTGGTCTGGGCACCCGGGCAGTATCACAGCCCTCACACATATCAAATGAGATCTGTGTGACGCATATGTATTTGGTGCCTCCTTGTACTAATATTTATATGTTAAAATAAATAAAAATAAATATTCATTTGTTTTGTTGACATGGTGAATAGGATGCACCTAAAGAAAAAAAGGATTATTTAAACTGGAAATTTTTACGCATCTTCTAAATTCAAAAAATTAAAATCAATTTTTGTTTTTACAACTGTCATTTCCATATATTTTCTTTTTAGAAAATTTCAAATCTTACCAATACTATTAATTTGATTGGCCAGTTTACTTGTTTTGAATTTTCTCAATCTTTCGATCAAATTGAAATACTCAGCGATTTCGGATTATGGTAACCGTTTATGATAAAATTGAAAGGGTTGGTACAATTTAATAATCACTATGATTATTATAAGGTATAAGATTTAAATTGTAGTTTAAATATTAAGGCAGTCGTTACGAAGCTAGGAGTCATGATATTTTTTTGTCTTTATTCATAACGCAATTTTCAATATTTATTTCACATTATGTCTGTCTTCAAATCAAACTAATTTTCAATCATAGATTCTTATCTTTCAAGTAATGCATTTTTGATTCTGATCGTTTCCAAGTAAGTATAACTTAACCATTTACAGTTGTTCTTTAATAGTTTGTTTATACATACACATACTTCATTCGATCATCAGCTTACTGTAGTTCATGTCATTCTATCATTGTCTGATGAGATGTTATTGAATTTTTACGGCTAATAATCATACTATTTATTTCGATTACATTATATGATGGGCAGATTCATTTACGGCAACTTGGACCGATGTATATATGTACCTGGTCCTACGTTGTAGCTGACTGACTGAGATTCATCCATGAATGTTTAAAGGAAGTGTATAGGAAAAAGAAATTGTGTGAAATACTATAACATTATTACATCCTTTGTTTCATTCCGTTAATAGCTGGGTTCATTTGCTTACGTGTTTTTTATGAAATAGTTGCACAAAATATTTGTTTTGCTACTTACACACTACATGTGTAAGTACAAAGAAATTAAGAATTTAAAAATAAAGTACTAACACTTAGATTAATGAATCAGCTCTTTTTTAAATATAATTTCTTATTACTGTATATTTATGCACATGACTACTAATAAAACTTTGAAATGTTTTTAATAAATAAATCATTTTAATTTTAGGAATCTATACACAAACAATTTTTACTGTTGATCTACCTATTTACATAACTTCCAAGTGATTACCTCGTATGTTTCAAACTAATATAGAAGTAATTGAATAAGAAAAAGAGAATTCAGTGAAGAAGTAATTTCAACAGTTGAGATCATGAGTCAATTAAAGGTAGACCGCCATGGAAAACCTGGAAGAACTCGACAGCCGTTTCGTCTTATCGTGGAACTCTTCAGCAGTGTTCATACACGATCCCGCCTTGTGAGATTCGAACCCAGGATCTATCGATACAATTGATAGCAAATAGTATGAATTGTAACGATAACATATTTTTAGTAATTCATTTGAACTAGTCTATTCAAAAGAATATGATTCACCAAAGTGTTATTGCACTATCCTGATAATATGATTCTAGTAGTTTTTTTAAATACATGAAATACAACTTCCGCATTCCTTACAAAAATGTATATATGTATAATATATTACGTTATAGCACTCGATTCATAGCATTATTGTCATGAAATCATTGGAACAGAACAATTAATGATAAAAGAAGGAAGGAATCAAGCAAAGAAATTTCTTTTCACTTAGATTTTCATCATGGCTCTACACTAATTTATATATATGTGTGATTTGCAATAATGAAATAATACTCATCGAGTGGATACGTTACGTAATAATTATATAATGGCATATCGATTATTAATTAACATTGGGTAATTGAAAGAAAGAGGATTAATAATAAAGTAATTATTCGAAAATCAAGCAGTTACTGCGTTGCGTAATATATTAAAACGGAACGAACTAACAAAGTATTTTGATGAATGATTTGTAGTATGGTAGTTATGTAAGAATCAAGAGACCAATGTTGGGAATAAGTAAAATACAAAAAAATGGAAGAAATAAGAAAATAGTTTATTAAAGGCCTGCTATATACTCCTCTGTACCGATGGCCAAGGTAGCGAGATTGGTTGTACAAATTTTTTTTGGATGCATAGGTTAGGTCTGTGAACATGGATTCCAATGGCTTCAGTAATGTGTAAAAAGCACATTCGTAAACCATGTATCAAATTTGATGGAATATTGTGGATAACCGTAAAAGCCTTATTCAGTTCAACTTGATGACCTGTGTCCACTGAGAGAGCGCGAATAGAACTGTTAATCGCTCTTACCTGTCCTTTGCTCAACCACGGCAGATGGTGTTCTGTTATACGATGACGATCATGCTGAATTGTAGGCCTTGTGTAACTGGCTCCACAGGAGCAGTTGAATCGATAAATACAAATGGATATGGCGAATTCAGGCAATCTGTCTTTATTGGCCGTTCTTATTGTAGGGCAGTTGTAGAAGATGGCACTCAGTCTAGCTGCATTAAATGTTTTTTGTCCCGCCTTTCTTAACTTCTGAGTCACAATTTCTTCGATAGTATCATTTGGGAATTGTAATTTTAAGAACGGTACTTTCTTCGGAACGGTAGGTACCCTTGATCTTGTTTTCATCTCCTTCATGTGTTTGTCGATGAATTTCGTTGGGTATCCATTCCTACTAAGCAAGTTACGAATATTAACCAATTCATCTACAATAATGTTGTAGATCACCAACGTAGATGATCTATGTCGAAATGATTGGAGGCCTACTCGAGTTAGACGTGAATGGTGTGACAAACTAACTAATGTCGAAGTCACACCTCGTGGTCAGCACCTTACGTGGACTACCCCTTTGACGTATCAAGGTACCATAGATGCTTTGAAGACTGTACAACACAGAGGACGTTATTACAGAAATATATTAGTTAAAGTAGATACAAACGAAAGTTAGACCACTGCCGCATGGACCAGTCCATGGCATACGATTAACTAATGCGCGTTGGTTGTCCTTGAGAGGATCGATGATTTGCTCGATAATCAGTGATCCAACTGCCGGATGATTTGGCTAGGGCTCAGTGACATTTTACTGGCCCTACAATGTCATCCGAGAGAATCATTCTAGCATGCCGAGTCAGGATCTTTACCACGTTTTTTTTGTATCTGATTGGTACTGCACTATATAAATGAATGTATTGTCCAGCTGTAGACTTTCGGTATAACCCTCTTTTTAATGTTCCATCTGTTCGTCTAGTTGGTTGAATATCCAGAAACTATATGCTATTATTTCCCTCTTCCTCTAGCGTAAAAGTAACCGATAAATGAATGTTATTAAATATAATAAGTAAATTCTCCTTTTCATGTTATTTTGCTAATACCATGACACTATAATCAACACAGCGACAGTAAGATGTTAGATGACTAATTGTGTCCCTAAGTGCAGGGAAAATGTCTGCCAGTAGAAGGTCCAACGGTGATCTCATCGCTATCCCATCTATTTGTCTATAGTATTCGTTGTCGAATTGGAATTAGACATTCATCGTGCATCTAAGAATTAACTGTTTTATTGCGGGTGCAGGAATAACAGTTTCTATGCGCCTCTCTGTTAATTCATTGCAAATAAAATCCACTGTTTCAAGTAAGGGAATGCTAGTGAGTAAGGACAATACATCAAATAATATCAAATCACTTTTATGTATTTTTGTAGGCAATATAACCTTGGTGTAGTCGTTCCTGTAGGTTTCAACATTTCGAACATTTCTGAGATAAAACCTTGTTGTTTAATTTGTTTCAACGAATTTATTAGTTGCTTTTCAATCTTGTCTGTCACGTTAAAAAAATGTAAAATGCATAAAAGTGGCTTGCCCTTTTGATCTGTTTTAGATATAACTCAGCCTATCATACTATAACTAAATGGTTGGTGCGAATTTCCACACCATTGCACAAAAAAAATTGTTAAGCATAGTGTCAAGGATTCCTTTGAATTTGTTGATAATATAAAAAAAATCTATCGGTCAATAATAACTTCATGATGTCATTACATGTATCATCCTTATTCCCCTGCTTAAAACAGTGGATTTTATTTGCAATGAATTAACAGTGCGGAATTTAGACTAAATTAATGATTAGCCTAGATATATATAACTAAACTGAATGCTACAAAGCTATAAGATAAAGTTTTTTTGTTATTTTAAACGTATTATAAGAAAACAAAACAGTTATTGACATATTGGTGATTATTTGGTAAACAATAACCATCACAAAAATTTCATACTATTAAAATACATAAATCAACACATGATTCCATTTATTAATGGGTACATATGAATAGATTTTCTGGTATCTTAATCATTAAGAAAGTATGAAATAAGTTAGAATGAAAGTAAATCACTTTTCAAAATTAAAACTCTTCTCAAATTGACATAATTTAATATTTACACTTTTTTGCCATATAGCCAATTAAACGAAATGGGTAGTAAATACATTTGCAAACTTTGTAAATGTTTCATTTAAAGATTTTCGAACTTAATTATTGGTAACCTTAATGGTTTTGGATATTTAGGTGATCTCCGGATTTCTCAGAAATAGAAAAATGTTTCTTAAAACACCCATGTTTAACAGACGTCATTTATTCCATTTTATTCCTGGCGTATGTTAAAACTAACCATCATAGTGGTAGCTTTGTTACTTTAATATATTTTCAAAGAAACTGTCAAGTTTAGTTTGAATTTAACGAATCGACGAATTGATCACAAGAAGTTTTTAACTAATGATTAATGAGTTGGTTAACTTCTTTGAAATTTCACTGATATTGGTCCGATATTTGGGTCACGAAATTGCTAGTATTAAGCTTTAGAACTTAAGAAAAATTAGGTTTCATTTTCGTAATAAGAGACTAGACGCATGCATATATGTATGCACATAAGTATCTAAAGTAAAATAACTTTATTTATTGACAGGAGGAAACGCTTTTCCTTAACGAAATAAATAAATAAATATATATATATATATATATATATATATATATATATATATATATATATAGGGGCGGCCAGGCCAAAACATGGCACAAGTCCATGAAGTCACTGACAAGTGGACTGAGTCATGTTGGTAAGTGTAGACTACCTGGTTGGGGACCGCGAGATGATAGCAACCGATGGTTATAGACCCTGAATGACATGGTTCGAAATCGTTTGCAATGGCGCAGGTGCATACACTCTTTGTGTTCTCCCAAATTCTAATCTCCTGATTCCTTCTTATCTCTTTTTTCTCTTTCCAAATTTATTTCACTTGATCATAATGTTTAAATAACATCTACAAACCTTAATCTTCCCAATTACTGCTTATACTCTTACTACCTCTACCACTATGGGATTTGAATCGACCACTGCATCTCTGTGGTAATGTGGTATGGCAACTCGAACTGGTGTACGTACGTACGAAGTTCTACGTTGATACTGACTGACTGAATCAAGAAACCATAAAAAACCAAAAACGACTGTGTAGCTTCACTATTTTATTAAAGATTCTCAAACCAATCCAATCTCAGAACACCACCTATCGAGTTCAGTACCTTCAGGTTTCATTATGATCACAATATTATGAATTTTTTAAAATGAACTGAACAGAATCTTAGTAAATCTAAAATTAGGTAGATGAACAATTAAAAAATTCTATTTTGTAGAATCAGTTATTTTCTAAAATTGGAGATAGTTTATTTCTCTATTTGTATATGTAAACCTCCCATTTTAAAAAGTAAAAAACCAGTAGATACTTTTTCTAAGTCCTGTAGGATTCGAACCTATCTCGTCCTAGTTTATAGTCTAGGACGTTATCCCTGAGGGTGTTTAGTTCACAAACGATCACTATTAGAACTGAGTTATTTGTATTATTAATTATTGAGTATTAATTGTCTATTAGTAAGAGCAAAGCAAACGTTATACTATAGTTCAACATTTAAGATAATTTTTAGTTGAAAACTAATTTTATTGTGTTATCTGAAAGCATAAACGTTAGAGCTTGTAGTCAACTGAAGTAACTTTGAAGATTTCGGTTGTGAGTGAACAGTCTATTGTTAACTAATTGGTAATAATAATAATTCACAAAGTTTCTTAAATTTATTCAATATTGTCGAATATTATCAAATTTTTAAAAGCATTTTAGCATCAATTACTTCATACTAATGAATAACGAATGTTTTTCACAGGTTTTAGTATATCTACAAATAACTCAGTTTTATTGATCTTATAGCCATAAAAGGTATGGTGAACATACTGTAAGTGCTGTTATTGTTAGTTTTTATCGGTTCACAGTCAATGTACTTTGTTCATATATACAGGAAAGAATAGAATATTTACAAGATTTTATATATTTAGTGTTTAATTTTGCTAAGCTTAGTGACAGAAACTACATACCACGATTATTTGTATAGGATTGTTAGTGAGATTGTTGGAGTTACGTAATCCTGTAGTCTAATAAACCTTTGATCATTATCATTTAACATATATTTTAGAGGCAATCAAGAAAAATATTGAGTAATAAGATGCATAGACATTTTAAAAGCAATAAAAACAATTATTACTAAATCATATATGTAAATGTGTAAATTTAAACTCATTAACAACACTATTCA